CCCCCACCCATCAATGAACACCTCTGGCCAAAGAATGAGAAGAGAGAATCAATCCAAAATGTTTTTTGTGTAGAATATAACCCTACATCTTTCAGAATGATGAAACAAAAACTGTAAAAAGTAAAAACAATGAACTTCACAGGATTGGTTGTAACACTGCAAATCTATAACAACACAAGTACATGACTGCGCCACTTTACAGAATAAATCATTTATAATGAATTCAACAGGATAGATTTGAATATCTGTGACACTGATTGTATTGGATTTTATTGTTCATCTCTTTCTTTTTTTTTTTTTTGCTTTTCATGTGTAAAAGTGTATCCTTTTTGAAGGGCATATATTCCTCCTTGTACATTTTTTATAAATTAAGTTACAGACACAGTTACCAATCAAAAAGATAAGGACAATGCCACCAAGGAAAAACCCAGAAAGCTACCAAAGTAATTAATGGTCCAAAAGGGAAGCCCTATGGTTGCTGATGAATGAACAGTCCCATCATTTACCCAACTAAAAGATACTAATGCTCAGTTTGGAAGAGTACAAATACAAATATGTACAGTGCAAATACATACAAAATACAAGTTTTGCACTCTATGTATTTGTATTTGTACTCCTTCCCAACTGAGCCTAAGCAATGCCATCAGGAGCAAAACTAAAATCACAATGATTGATCTACTAATCGAACTGTTTTCAGATAGCTTCAGGGTTATATTTTCCTTGTTAGAAAACAGTGCAACTGTATCACAATGCAAACCACTTGAAAAATGATTTAGGTATTCCATCAATCTATTATTGGTATTGAAATATGAAGCAAGGTTATTTAGGAGATACAAGGTCGATGCAAGAAGGGCCTCCTTCAGTGAACCCAAGTTTCCAGATGGCACATAATGAGTCCCAAGTCCTACATATAATGCATCAGAAGGAGAAGAAATCCTTTTTCCAGTCATTCCAAGATAAGCACCTGCAACGCAGAAAGCACTGCCTCAAGCAAATAGCATGAAGAAGGATATAAAAGCCACACAAACAAAAGACCCTGAAGAACACAAGTGATAAAACAGAAGTAAACAAATAAAACCTTGTTTAGAGGTAACCTCTATGAAATTCCCATCAATTAGATAAGATAAATAGATAATCTATGGGTAGAAGGAAATTTACCCCTCCCCCCAATTGCAGGCCCTGCCAAGATTGGATTAGATTTGGGCAATTCATACCAAGGACAGCTTAGACCTGGTTCTGAAAAATAGTGAGGCCATTACCCAATTTTGGTCCCAGCTACCTGGGGTCTTGGGAGGAGTGGACTGGATAGGGTCCTAACCTTTGACATCTTTTTGCACAAAAATGTCTGCTCTCGGACTCAAACCCACATTCTTACACTTGACAGCCTGAGATTTTACCATTACACCAAGTAATGGTCCTTTTTGAAAAATAACGAGAAACTTGAAAAAAGGAACTCATTAATGAAAAATGTTCTTAACCATTCTGATGACAAGCAACATACTCAAACCGACATTCTTACACTTGAAAGCATGAGGTTTTACCATTGCACCAAGTAATGGCCCCTTTTGAAAAATAACAAGAAATTGAAAAAAGAAACTCATTAATGAAAAATGTTTTTAACCATTCTGATGACAAACAACATACATATAAGATATGAGTGGGTTAACATAGAATATTTCTTCAGTAGGTCAACCAATTCTGCAATGTCTTTCTTTTCTTTTTTTTTTTTCTGATCAATAATTCTGCAGTGTCTTTCAAACAACATATTTTCAATAAATAGAATTATATGCATGGACGTTCAAACACCTATGATTTTAGATTTCCACATTAATCCTAATTGCATGATCCAAATGAATCATCAAGTCAAAGCAAGTATCAGCATATCAGATGGGATAATCACATCTATATCTGTTTCCCAGATTTCAAGAAATAAAGAGTCATTAAGCCATTTCCCATATCCATGTCCAAATACTTGTTAATATCTAGACATCTTAGACAGAAAAGGGAGTTTATTAATAATGAAATGTTCACCAGGTTTCTATCAGAATTTCAATGTTATTGACACCATCTCTTGTGCTTAAAAAGCAAAATATTGGACGTGGGAGGAGTTACCTCAATGAATAAAGAGGTTTACTTGCAAAGTTACAATTTGTAAATTAAAATATGTTTCTAGTAAGGTCATGCATCATAACATCCAATGTCCAGATCTAGTACCACACAAATAAAGTGAAAGTAAAAATGAAGAAGAAGAATAGTTTATATGTGGAAAGTGAAAGACATACCAACTGAACCTCCTCCTGGACTACGTGCTGCAATGTAAGCAAATCCAACATCTGGAAACAAGCCAATTCCATTTTCTGGCATGGCAAGGACAGTTCTCTGAAGTGAACACCCAAAAGATAGAATGTTAAAATTCTATCAAAATTGAAGTCAGAAGACAATTCTAAATCATAACTATACCATCTACATCAAATAATACCTCAGTAATAATTCGATATTGACCATGACCAGAGAGGCCAATCCCAAAACCCATTGTTATGCCATCCATTAAGGAAATATAAGGCTTATTGTAGTAAAAAATTTTGCATATCAGAGAATATTCTGCAGTAAATACCTGCCAAAAATTTTGTTCAATCAACAGGAAGTCATGCATAGTGTAAATTATATAGGAACTAGGAAGGCAACAAATTGCAAAGTGCAAACACATAAAGCAGCTAAGTTGACCAAGCCAAACTTTGTATAAACCATAAATAGCAACTAGGCATAATTTTTTAACTCATACAAAATTATCATAACATAAATACAAATCATAAACATCATCTCCTCAATTGTTTCTTGGCAATGTAAATGACAAGGCGCCAAGAATAAAGCTCCCAAGATTGCCTGAGTCTGCACTGCAAGCTACAAGTGGTCTACATACGGCATGAAACCAACACAAGAGAACCACAACCGTATCTTAAAACAGGTTGAAGCATCCAAGAGGTTACCTAGCTTTAACACGGATAGCTGAATGTGTCACTAAAATAAAATCAGCAAATAAGAAAAAAGAATACCACAACTGCATCTTAAAATAGGCTGAAACTCAGAGTAGCTAATATGGATTAGCAGAAATCATGTGTCAAAATGACATCAATTTCCATTTTGGTAAATTTTGTTCCTTCAGGCTAAATTCTAAGTGTACATTTTTTATTAATAATTCTAAGTGTACAGTTTCTGAGACAAATTTCAAGCATGACCCATGAACTTTAGCCAGCACCTTCAATCTGATTTCTATTTGCGAAGAGAGAACTTCTATAATAACTTTATCTATTCAGCAAGCTTGTTTGGAAGATTTTAAATTTAAATGGAGAATAAAGACTTCAAGGACCAAAAATTTTTCACAAACTTACTAAGAGTGCTGATGATTGTACTGCCTTTCTGAAAAAGGACAAGTTGGCTTTAAATTTTTCTTTTTTTTTTCCAATAACAATCAACTGACATTATTGTTTTCCATTTTTTTGAGAACGTGAAAATTATTGGATTGTATTAATGGCAAAACATCTAAACTACTATTAAAATGGGAATGAGGTCTAGATTCTGGAATTTTTCTTGACTAAAATACCCCTATTGTTGAATTTGGTCCATCTTTATTATAAGAGCAATATATGTAATTTGAACTACTAATATTAAATTCATTTTTGACTAAAACACTCCTTATTTACTGTATATTTAAGGTAAGAAGAAAAACAGTCCTAAGGAATGAAAGGACTGATTTAAAAGATGTGAAAAGATGTTAGATATCAGCAAAAAAGAGAAAAGGAGAGGAAAGAAGAAGAAGAAGAAGAAGAAGAAGAAGAAGAAGAAGTTGGCGGCAAATAGGGTTTAGAGAGAAGACTGTCAAATATTTTCTCTCTTCCCTAATCCTTTTCATTAAAACATAATTTACAAGTTCTGATATTTACAGACAGGCCGTTAATTGGGCAATTAACTTAATTAAGCATAACAAAAAAAAGGCCCATTAACAACATAAACAAATAAAAAGCATCCTATGGGCCATTCAGCCCATTCTCTCTACACTCCCCATCAAGCTGAGGTTAGATGTCAATCACGCCTAGCTTGCTAGTGTCATATTGTAGTTTGGCCTTGGAGATTCCCTTGGTAAGAATGTCAGCTAACTATTCTTCAGATGTAATGAATGGTAGACAAACTTCTCCAGAAGCCACTCTTTCTCTGATAAAATGCCTGTCAACTTCAATGTGTTTAGTCCTATCATGTTGCACCGGATTGTGAGCAATGTTGATGGTGACCTGATTGTCACAATATAGCATCAATGGCTTATCATACTCAACACCCAATACTTCCATAAAGGATCGAAGCCAAAGTAACTCAGAAACTCCATGAGCCATAGCTCTGTACTCGGCCTCAGCTGAAGATTTGGCAACAATTGATTGTTTCTTGCTTCTCCAATAAACAATATTACCTGCCGCCATGCTACAAAATCCAGAAGTCGACCTCCTATCATCAATGTTTCCCGCCCAGTCAACATCTGTGTAAGCCTCCAATTTCATATGACCATGCTTAGCAAATCCCAAGAGTACTCTTCAAATAACATAAAATTTATTCTACTGCTGCCATATGAGTGTCCCTGGGAGCATGCATGAACTAGCTAATGCAGCTGACAGCATATGCAATGTCAGGCTAAGTCATGCAAAGATATAGCAGTTTCCCAAGTAACCTTTGAAACACTCCCTTATCCTTCAACAGTTCTCCATTAGAGGCAGAAAGTTTGTGACTCATATCAATAGGAGTAGCCACTGGTCTTGCACCCATCTTGCCTGTTTCAGTGATCAAGTCTAGCACATACTTTCATTGAGAGATAAAAATTCCATCCTTAAACTAAGCCACTTTTGTGCCAAGGAAATACCTCAACTCCCTCAGATCTTTGATCTCAAACTCTATATGAAGGAAGGATTTAAGATCATCAATCCCCGTGACATCAGTACCAGTCACTACTAAATCATCAGCATAGACTATAAGATATACCACCAATGAATCTCTCCTCTTCACAAAGAGGGTATGATCGGACTGAGTTTGTAAGTAACCAAAGTTAACAAGGTCAGCCCTAAACCTTTCAAACAATGCCCTAAGTGATTGTTTTAAGTCCATAGAGAGACTTCTTCAGCTTGCACACTTTTCCCTCCATATTTGTGCCATACATCCCTGGTGGGAGAGACATATACACTTCCTCATGTAATTCTCCATTCAAGAACGCATTTTTCACATCAAACTGATAGAATGGCCAATCTAAATGAGATGTCAAAGATAGTAGAAGTCGTACAGATGTCATTTTTGCAACAGGAGAAAAGGTCTTCAGATAGTCAATCCCATAGGTTTGTGTATAGCCTTTTGCAACCAGCCTAGCTTTGTACCTCTCAATGGAGCCATCAGCATGGTATTTAATGGTGTAAACCCACTTACAGCCCATTGGCTCCTTCCCTTCAGGCAAATCAACCACTTTCCATGTGTCATTCTTATGCAGAGCATCTATTTCAATTTTCATAGCATCCCTCCATTCTAGAAAAGTAAGAGCTTCTGGTACAGACCTAGGTATAGGGTTAGAAGCAACAAAAGAAAGAAAGGCATAATATGAAGGAGAAAGCAGACCATATAAAAGATGTTTAGAAATGCAATGTGCAGTACACTTCCGTTTACCTTTCCTGATAGCAATAGGGACATCAAGATCTAGGAAGGGTAGTTGCAAAGGGATAGTATCAGTACATGTTGTCTCTTCAGTAACTGGAAGTGCATGAAACTCATGTGATGTAGAGGAAACAATCTGCTCACTTCTGGTTCTTTTCCATTGGTACCAGTTGAAAAACAGCCCTTCGAAGTATGGGACTGTATAGGATTAGATGAAAACAAGAAAGGTAAGAGAGTCAAAAGATTGGTGAAGTATGAAGAGAGAGAGCTGGCGGCAAAGAGGGTTAGAGGATGAGAGGTTCGAACTAATCATCCCCTCTAACACTCTAACATTGTTTTATTAAGTTAATTCTTGAATAATTACAAGAGAGGCCCTTGGTTGGGCAAGAAATTACAAAAACACAACATAGAAGAGGATGGGCCCAGAATAAGGTCCATTACAGAAAAGAACATAAATATAACATAGAATAACAGCCTATGGGCCATTCGGCCCATTTTCTCTACACTCCCCCTCAAGCTGAGCATAGATGTTAATCATGCCCAGCTTGCCAGTATCATGTTGAAGCCTTGCCTTGGGAATGCCCTTGGTGAGAAAATCTGCCAACTGTCCTTTAGAAGTGATGAAGGGAAGACACACTTCACCCGAAGAGACTCTTTCTCGAATAAAGTGTCTATCAACCTCAATATGCTTAGTTCTATCATGTTGTACTGGGTTGTGGGCAATGTTGATGGCGGCCTGATTATCACAGTACAACATCATTGGTTTGTCATGCTCAATCCCAAGTTCCTCCATCAATGATCTCAGTCACAACAGTTCAGAGACTCCATGTGCCATGGCCCTGTATTCTGCTTCTGCTGAGGATCGGGCCACAACTGATTGTTTCTTGCTCCTCCAAGAAACAACATTACCAGCCACCAAACTGCAATACCTTGAAGTAGATCTTCTATCATCAATGTTTCCAGCCCAGTCACCATCAGTATAGGCTTCAAGTTTCATATGACCATACTTGGTAAATAGATTTCCTTTTCCCGGAGAGCCTTTCAAACAACACAGGATTCGTTCTACGGCTGCCATATGAGTATCTCGGGGAGCATGCATGAACTGGCTAATACAACTGACAGCATATGCAATATCTGGCCGAGTCATGCACAGGTATAGGAGTTTCCCAAGAAGTCTCTGAAAGACCCCTTTGTCTTCTAACAACGTCCCATCCGAAGCAGAAAGTTTGTGACTCATATCAATAGGAGTAGCAGCTGGTCTAGCACCCATCTTCCCCGTTTCAGAAAGCAAGTCAAGGACATACTTCCTTTGGGAGATAAGGATCCCATCCTTGGATCTAGCAACTTTTATGCCAAGGAAGTATCTCAACTCCCCCAGGTCCTTAATCTCAAATTTTGTACGGAGGAAAGACTTAAGAGCATGAATTCCTGAAGCATCATCACTAGTCACAACAATATCATCAACATACACAATGAGATATACTGCCCGAGATCCACTTCTCTTCACAAAAAGAGTGTGATCAGACTGTGTCTGGACATAGCCAAAGTTAACAAGTGCTGCTCTAAATCTCTCAAACCATGCTCTAGAAGACTGTTTGAGGCCAAAAAGTGATTTCTTCAATCTGCATACTTTTCCTTGCATATCACTTCCATACATTCCTGGAGGGAGAGACATATAAACCTCTTCATGTAAGTCACCATTCAGAAATGCATTCTTTACATCCAATTAAGGGGCCAGTCAAAGTGAGCTGCCAGAGATAAGAGAACCCTCACAGATGTCATCTTAGCAACAGGTGCAAAGGTCTCCAGATAATCAATCCCATATGTCTGTGTGTAGCCTTTTGCAACTAGCCTGGCCTTGTACCTCTCAATGGTCCCATCATTCCGGTATTTAATGGTAAAGACCCACTTGCAACCAACTGGGTCCTTCCCTTC